ACATGGATTGCACATACACATTCGATGGATAGGGGAGGGGGGGGGGGGAGAAAGAGAGTTGGATTGCACATACACATTCGATGGATAGGGAGGGTGGGGGGGGGGGGGGGGGGGAGAAAGAGAGTTGGATTGCAGACACACATTAGATGGATAGGGAGGGGGGGGGGGGAAGAAAGAGAGTTGGGATGGGGGGGGGGGGGGGGGGGAATAAGGCGTAGTAGGATGCCTATAAATGTTCCGGGCATTCTACACAGCTGGCAAACCAATGATAGTCCCGAATTCACGGTCATCCCTCAACCAAGGGTCGCCCTCCTCCACACACACACTTTCAACCATTGGTTGTTGCAGTGTCCACCAGGAATGAATGTACATGTGTGTCATTGGTTGTTGCAGTGTCCACCAGAAATGAATGTACATGTGTGTCATACTACTGTCCTGGACATGGTAATCCGGTCGAACATCTAGCGGCCCCACGGCGATGGCCATGCAGCCGTGGATAAGCGGTACACACATACATTTCTGCGTTGCAGCGCGGCGTTCGCATCGGATCAAAATGTGCACTGCATGCACGCAGCGTTCTGTACGTGCTGAGGGTTCCGGCCCGGGTCAATCAACTGCATTTCCATGTCCGCTACAGTAGGAGAAAAAATTGGTGACTGCAAAGCTTAACGCATGTTGCTATCCACCGCCGGCTGCCCTTTACAGCTGCCGTTGAGCTAGGGCAGATTGATAAACTCTGGCATGTTGCTATCCACCGTCGGCTGCCCTTTACAGCTGCTGTTGAGCTAGGACACATTGATAAACTCTGGCATATTGCTATCCACCGCCGCCTGCCCTTTACAGCTGCTGTTGAGCAAGGACAGATTGATAAACTCTCGCATGTTGCAACGCCGGACTGAATCACCTTAGGGGGCAGCAGGTCAAGGCCGGGAGTGGTATAAAAAGTGGCATAGACCATGGTTCATGCCGGTTTTTCGGGTGCTATTATGTGTGACCCCCCCCCCCCCCACCACACCGCTGCTATGACTGCTTGGTGCACACAGTAATTTTATTGGAAAGGTTGGGTTTTGCCTTTTCTCCTGATACTCAATTCCAGTTACTATGTACAATAACCTAGAGACTGGCAATGTCCAAATACGTTGATCTCCGACCTGCAGAGAGTGCTCAATAGAGAGGTTAAGATTCACGTTATTTCTGACCTGACGCGAAATTTCACGTCAAATTGCGGGTAACACTCCAAATTTTGACGTGAGCTGCCAGTCACGTTGTTTTTCGACGCGCGAGCCAAATAACGCGAGCTGAACTTTCGCGTCACAGCAGAAATAACGCTCACCTTAACCTCTCCAATGTCAGAGACAGAGCTTAGTACCTAGCAGACTCAGCGGAGGACGTTCAGGTTGGTTGTAAGTTTCATGCCGCCGTTAGGCAATCATCAGACAACGGGTCAGAACATGGAAGTCCTCTGCTGAGTGTGCTATGCACTGGGAAGGTTCTGTACTTACTTGCTTAACACCACTGTCTTCATATCACAGATCTGAAATCCTTCAGTGCAGAGAATCTCAAGCAGGAGAGCTGCAGGCAGAAACACACCACAGAAATCACATTTCACATGAGAACAAGTGAGGCTGGTTTTCCGCATCCGTAGAAACACCACCGCCCTGCAAGGATCAAATCGCACAAAACTAAGTCCAGAATCCTAGTGCTAACAAGTGTTATCCTCTAGAGGTTAACACTTGTTAGCACTAGGGCAGCATGTTTTCAGCTGAAACACAATTCCGTAGGAAACGAGAAGACAAGGAGCACAAGGGCAGCATGTTTTCAGCTGAAAACAATTACGTAGGAAACTCGAAGACAAGGAAGGCTTTTTTTCTGGAAATAATTATATTAATTTTCCTGCACAGATTCGCTCTGCTGAGATAGAAATTAAAACATTAAAAAAAGTCAGCACTTTGCCCATGAAATCATTTCTACACAAGTCTCAACGGAACAAGATAGGGTCAACTGGAAGCCTCGGTTGGCTCAGATCACTTGAATCACTTCAATCACACAGTGAACACGCCTCTGAGAAAGCCTCTGAGAAACCGGTCAGAAAGCTTGGATGGCTTAGATCACAGAGCGTTCAGGTCAAACATCACACATGCCACACAGGCTGCCACACAGGCTGCCACACAGGCTGCCACACAGGCTGCCACACAGGCTGCCACACAGGCTACCACACAGGTTGCCACACAGGCTGCCACACAGGCTACCACACAGGCTACCACACAGGCTGCCACACAGGCTACCACACAGGCTGCTGCCACCCAGAAAGCTTGTACACCTTACATGTATATCTCACGTTCAGAAAGGCCACACGGAGAAAGCTTGTACAACACAGGTCATACACACACACACACACACACACACACACACACGCACTCCCCCCCCCCCTCCACACACACACATCACTAACGTCACTCAGAAAGCTGCGAGCGAGCGGTCGGATCAGGATGATCCCCACATAAAAAAATAATAGCACATTAGAGCTTGCGGTAATGTAGGTTAACACATTGCACAAGCCACCACTTCACACGCGCTCCAGCGGCTTCCAAAGAGCCCGCAGATCCCACGCTATTCATTGATGCATGTCAAGTAACACGTACATGCACGCTGTGGTGGCATGTAACATGCGTACGCCGGAACTCACCTGAACTCGCCAGCCAACCAGCCATATGCGGCTGCAGCACACATCGGAGCTTGAACCCGTAACGCATACACCATACTTTGCGCTGGCCGTATTGCTACTTCATATTTGCTTTGCTTGGGTAGTGAGAAGAACACCGGTTTGTTCCTTTCTCATTTCTCACTCCCTTTCTCTCTCTTTCACCATGCCACGAGGCTCTGTACGAGGAAGCAGACGTGGACGCGGACGCGGGTATGCCGTCGAGGTTACCCGTCGCCGCTCGGGTAGGGCTTCGACCTCGCCATACGCGCGGACTGACGGCATGCGCGCCTTCGCGCCTGATGCCTCCGACACACCGTCAGCAGCTAGTTCAGACTTCTGACCCCGCTCCAGGCACCGACGCTTCTATGCAGGACGAGCCCTCATTGCTCTCCCCGGACATCATTTCCTCAGCCGTTATGAAGATGAACGCCCTCCACCCTCTCCTCGAACGCGTGGAACGCCTGGAGAACAGACAGTGCTGAGTCTGATCTGGAAGCCGATCTCTCCCACGCGCGCGCTCCGCACCCGAAAGATCGCTCCCACGCTCCGAGCGTCAAGCTCCGGACCTATCCTGCCCGGAACTTCCAGTTCTATCGGAACCTCCGACTTCGCCAGGACCTCCAGTTCTCTCCAAGCCCTCGGTTCTACCCACACCGCCACGTCGTGCGATTGAAAAAATCCAGCGCGGAGAGTTTGTGGAACTTGAGGAACTCTTGCCGGAAAATTTCAGCTCCCAGGGACAGGAGCCAATACAACTGGTTACAGCTGGCGGCGACATGGCTCAGCTCTCGCTCAACCTCAGCGCAAAGCACACGCGCGCAATCAACGACTTCTCGGCTTGGCTGGAGGCCTGGACGATCTACATGGGCATCGTCGTTCTTGCTCGTCCTGACCGAGCTCATGAGCTCGTCTGCTACCAGCACATACTTTGTACTGCGAACCAACAGTTCACGACGTCTGCTGTGCTGAACTATGATCGAGCATTTCGCCAACACACCGCCAGCATGGCACTGCGCTGGGACGTGATCAATCAGACGCTGTGGAGTATTCGCCTACTCCGCTCTCCCCGTCTGTCATGCACCAAATGCACGCTCCAAAACAGCCGCGACCGCTGCCTGCCCACATGCCGTAGCTCAACACGCGCAGCCCTTTCCATCAGTGGCGGGCAGCACCCGCCAAGTCTGTTTTAACTTCAACCGCGGCAGGCCCTGTTCCCGCACACCCTGCGACCGTCTCTACGCCTGCAGCGCATGTGAAGACAAAGGTCATGCCGCCACATCCTGCACCAGCACCACCCGCTTCAGGTAGCAGCGCCCTGCAGATAGCCACGAGAAGACTTCGAAGCCCACTGAGAAAAAGTAAGCCGACTTCCACTCCCCTGAACACTGTTCGCTTTCACACATTACTGCCTTCCTAGGAATTGTGCTGGACACGGTGCGCATGGAAGCCCGTCTCCCAGACGACAAACCGACGGACCTCCGCGAGCTCCTCAGCGAGCTGTCATGCGGCACCCTGACCACGCAACGCAAACTCGATCACTTCCTGGGGAAACTCTCCTTTGCGTCGAGCGTCGTCGTACCAGGCAGAACATTTACGCGGCGCTTATGGGATATCAACAAGAGGTTTAGCCGCGCCAAGCCCTATTTCCGTATCACTCTGACAGGCATTCCAGCAGCCGGCACCATCGGCACAGCAAGCCCCGGACACTGCAATCCGCCTCCCTCTCCTGGACTGATGCAGGAGGTCGCCGACCTGGCAGCCATGGCAATCGCCCCGACAACACGGCGCACGTACGCCACTGGCGAAAGTAAATTTACGCAATTCTGTGCGTTGCAGAGATGGACGCCCATGCCGGCTACAGACACGATGCCCAGCTGCTTCGCAGCACACCTCACACAATCGGTTCAACCACAGACAATTCATGTCTACATGGCCGCGGTACGCAACATGCATCTCGAAGCCGGATTCCGAGATCCAACGATGAACGCATTGCTGCCGCCACGTGTTATGCGAGGCATCAAGAGGACGGCGACTGACCCGGCAATCCAGCGCACTCGCCTCCCAATCACCATTGATTTGCTGCGGAAGCTCCTCATTCTCTCTCAACCAACTCAGCCTGGACCAACGGCGTCACCAGCAGGACAAGGGCATGCTCAAGGCGGCAATGGTGCTCGCCTTCTTCGGATTTCTTCGATGCGCTGAATTCACTGCGCCTCCAGCCGGGTTTGACCCTGCCACTCATACCACGCGCCAGGATGTGACTCTGGATGTCACTCAAGGACGCACATATATCCGCTTCCACATCAAGCAATCGAAGACGGACCAACTTCGTCAGGGCCATGCAGTGATAATCGGTAGTACCACTTCACAACCTTGCCCGGTTGCCGCCCTCCTGGCACATTTTACAGTCTGTCCGTCTGACGCACTCTTACGCTACCGCCCTGGGAGACCGCTGACCAGGCAGGCACTGACAGAAGAGCTCCGACAGCTTCTCCCACTCACGGGAACACCCAATTCACGCGATTACGCTGGTCATTCGTTCCGCATCGGTGCCGCCACAACTGCAGCCATGGCGGGTACCCCGGACTGGCTAATCAGGGCAATGGGCCGATGGAGAAGCGACAGTGTCTTGCGCTACATCAGGACAACCGACACAGACATGGCGCAGCTGACCCAAAAGCTGTCAGAGGTACAAGCGCATCACAGAACGCATGGAGGTATGTAAGAACCCGCCACGCGGGCACGCAACTCACACCCATGCACGTACCCACACGGCTGACCGTTTGGAACAGCACAGCAACTTGCTCTGCTAGGATTGTGCTGACAAACTGCGCTGATAGCAACAACAGTGTCATTCACGTGCATTGCAATGTGTCACAACTTAGCATGGAGGCTGGGCAACCATGGGCCAGCTATCTCCTCTCATCTGGCAATTATCACGGCCTTCGGCCATCACACTCATACTCCCACACTCCTGCCTCCTAACGGGCATTGCACTTCGTGCGTGGGCCGTCCACACTCCGTCCATTTCATGGGCGCCCATCTCATGGGCTGCACTTTGTGCGTGGACATACATACACACTATCATACAGGCCGTCCACACTCCGCCCAGTTCATGGGTGCCCATTTCATGGGCTGCACCTCGTGTGCGTGGGCCGTCCACACTCCGTCCATTTCATGGGCGCCCATCTCATGGGCTGCACTTTGTGCGTGGACATACATACACACTATCATACAGGCCGTCCACACTCCGCCCAGTTCATGGGTGCCCATTTCATGGGCTGCACCTCGTGCGTGGACTATCCTACATGATTATCACATGCCAGATTCGGTTGCCCAGCACTCCATGAATCCTCCATATGATGTGTGCTCTCCACTGGTCTGCAATAGTGAGTGCATGCGTGTTAACAACGGAAATTCACGGTTCGCGTGAGACTCAGAGGGGGGGGGGGGGGAGTAGCCTCCTAGGGTGTCTCCTAGTCTAGATCGTTTATAATTTTCATGTTCAGTTGAATCACAGTTATACACTGGCATGCTGTGCTCCGTAAAATTATATCTAGTCTGGTCGTTCTTCGGCACTCCGTTCTTCGGCGCTCCATTCTTCGGCGCTCCATTCTTCAGCGCTCCATTCTTCGGTGTCCGAAAGTACTGTAGGGGTGAAGCGCCCTACAGCTTCAAAACTCAAAGGGAAGTGGTGAGCACACATGCTCTTTCCCTGGGGATACCCCGTGCACTGTTTGTATGGTAGCTGGGGAAACCCCCATGCACTGGTTGTACGGTCCCTGGGGAAACCCCGGTGCACTGGTTGTACGGTCCCTGGGGAAACCCCGGTGCACTGTTTGAACGGTGCATGTGCTGTTTGACCGACGGACCGAACTCACTCAACCATCCCACCTACAGAATACAACCATTATGGGAGGTGATGGTGGTAACTGAGTGGGTGTTCGGGTAGGTTAAACAACACGTTGCTTACGCATTTTTTTCATTATGTCCGGCTTGAATATCGCCAGAGTCCTGCAAGAGAATTCAAGCAGGGAATACAACAAAACACAATCAGTTTATTCAGTATCATTCCAGATTTCATTCAATTCTCCTCTTATGTGATGGGACCGACCGGGTGAGAAAACAGATATTTTGGAGAAGACATGCTCACAACTAGAGTACTGTCATACTGGTTGACGTATGGCTGACTGCTCACTTCCGCGGCCGAGGATTTCAAATATATAAATCAGAAAGAACCAGGAGGAGAAGGAGGAGAATGAAAGGGAGAAGGACGTAGGTATTAGTTGCCACACATCCCAGAGGAGAAAATTCCGTGAAGAAATTGGCGTCGATGAGACATACACAGTGTAGCATATGCTGGCTATGGCTGATATACTTCAGTACAAAGGCACATGTTTGCTTGTGCACACTGGTGATAGAAGAGAGGTCCACGGCAAGCTGGACAAGCTAGTGTGGATATAATGATTTACAACCAAAGAGACGGGGATGGCAGGTGTGATAATTTGGTGTGGTGATGCTTTGTATTATCAAGGGTAAGCAGCAGCATTTGGCCCTGTGCATATTGGTCAGCACACCACCACACCAGAACTACGCTCTCTAGCCGACTTCGATACGTTGCCACAGCACACCATCCGACCAGAAGTACGCTCTCTAGCCGAGCTCGACACATTGCCACAGCACACCACACCAGAACTGCACTCTCTAGCCGACCTCGACACGTTGCCACAGCACACCACCACAACAGAACTGCGCTCTCTAGCCGACCTCGACACGTTTCCACAGCACACCACCACACCAGAAGTACGCTCTCTAGCCGACCTCGACACATTGCCACAGCACACCACCACACCAGAACTGCGCTCTCTAGCCGACCTCGACACGTTGCCACAGCACACCACCACACCAGAACTACGCTCTCTAGCCGACTTCGACACGACATTGCCACAGCACACCACCACACCACATATGCGCTCTCTAGCCAACCTCCACACATTGCCACAGCACACCATCACACCAGAACTGCGCTCTCTAGCCGACCTCGACACATTGCCACAGCACACCACCACACCAGAACTACGCTCTCTAGCCGACCTCGACACATTGCCACAGCACACCACCACACCAGAACTGCGCTCTCTAGCCGACCTCGACACGTTGCCACAGCACACCACCACTGCAGAACTGCGCTCTCTAGCCGACCTCGACACATTGCCACAGCACACCACCACACCAGAACTATGCTCTCTAGCCGACCTCGACACATTGCCACAGCACACCACCACACCAGAACTGCGCTCTCTAGCCGACCTCGACTAATTGCCACAGCACACCACCACACCAGAACTGCGCTCTCTAGCCGACCTCGACACATTGCCACAGCACACCACCACACCAGAACATCGCTCTCTAGCCGACCTCGACACATTGCCACAGCACACCACCACACCAAAACTGCGCTCTCTAGCCGACCTCGACACGTTGCCACAGCACACCACCACTGCAGAACTGCGCTCTCTAGCCGACCTCGACACATTGCCACAGCACACCACCACACCAGAACTGCGCTCTCTAGCCGACCTCGACACATTGCCACAGCACACCAACACACCAGAAATACGCTCTCTAGCCGACCTCGACACATTGCCACAGCACACCAACACACCAGAAATACGCTCTCTAGCCGACCTCGACACGTTGCCACAGCACACCACCACTGCAAAACCGCGCTCTCTAGCCGACCTCGACACATTGCCACAGCACACCACCACACCAGAACTATGCTCTCTAACCGACCTTGACACATTGCCACAGCACACCACCACTGCAGAACTGCGCTCTCTAGCCGACCTCGACACGACATTGCCACAGCACACCACTACACCAGAACTGCGCTTTCTAGCCGACCACGACACAACGTTGCCACAGCACACCACGACACCAGAACTGCGCTCTCTAGCCGACCTCGACACGTTGCCACAGCACACCACCACTGCAGAACTGCGCTCTCTAGCCGACCTCGACACATTGCCACAGCACACCACCACACCAGAACTACGCTCTCTAGCCGACCTCGACACGTTGCCACAGCACACCATCACACCAGAACTGCGCTCTCTAGCCGACCTCGACACTTTGCCACAGCACATCACTACACCAGAACTACGCTCTCTAGCTGATCTCGCCACAACGTTGCCACTGCACACCACGACACCAGAACTACCCTCTCTAGCCGACCTCGACACAACGTTGCCACAGCACACCACTACACCAAAACTACGCTCTCTAGCCGACCTCGACACGACATTGCCACAGCACACCACCAGCAAAGCGACACAACCTTTGGTACTCTGTTCCTTCATACACACAATGCTGTTTCGAGTATAAAACTATCTTCAGTGACTGTAGATAATGTAGAATGGATAAGATAGTGAAAATCACCTTTTTTTGTACCGAAGCGGTAAGCACAATGCGCACGCCTGAGGCACAAAGAATAGGGGTGTGTTTGGTTGGTACAATCTAGAACAGGATGGAACAGCTGGTGCACATAGAGCACCTTCATGCCCACCAAACGGTACTCCAGAAACGGAGCACACTTTGTTGTGAAAAATATGCTAAACTTGGTGCATTCTTCAAAATGTGTATGGGTCACCATGGTCACTTTGTACGGTACGACAAGTCCAACCCGAGCGCGCATGCACGTGATCATTCGGGACCAAAATTGATGTTCCTGCCAGGTTTCACTGTGAAAAAGTGAAACTGGTACACTGACAAGGGTAATTTTCACTATCTTAGCCATTCTGCAATATCTACGGTCACTGACGAGAGTTTTATACTGAAAATAGCCGCAGGGTGTACCCAGTGTGATGACAGTGCTCAACACGGCGGAGGCAGAGCGTAATACAGACTTGTTGTTCTGTTCTGTACTGAAAATAGCAGTACGAAGAAACCGGGTACCAATGCCATGGATGTGTCGCTTGTTGATGGTAAGCTGTGGCAATGTGTCGAGGTCGGCTGCAGAGCGCAGTTGTGGTGTGGTGGTTGACGAAAGATATGCTTCGTCTTACTTTAAAAATACCAATAAATGGGATAAATTCTACCGTCATTACCACAAATCAACGAAGTCAACATCGATTTTGGAAAGCCTTCATGACTTCGTTGATGAGTGGTGACCACGGCAGAATTTATCACATTTGTATTGCTGCTCTGAAGTTATTGCCTCAACATCGTTTATTCGTCTTACTTTTCTTTCGCCATGGAGAGTTTAATCTTGGTGAAAGTGTCAGAGTACTCTACAAACTTCAGCTAGGTACCGCGGTTGACAGCCATCGGCAAGGATCCCATAGAAGAAAACAAACACACAAACACACACCAAAGGAGACGCATATACATACACACACACATACACACACACACACACACACTCACAAACACACACAAACACACACACACACACACACACACACTCACAAACACACACATATTCACCCAACCACACAGACAATGAAGAGGACACACAGACAGATAGACAGACAATAAGTTATGTCCACAAAACCAACACAAATTGAAATTCCCTGTGGTAGAAACGAGATGACAACATCACTGTGCTCCCTACTGTATAAAATACAAAATTTCATTTAGAAAATCTTTCCTTACATCACTCCATCAGCAGGTTCGTTACGTATTGAATTTCGTTTTTGGTCGAGGTTTGTCACCCCGAACGTACAGAATTTGTTTAGTAGAAACTTTAGTTATTTTCAGATCCCCTGACGAATATATCGAAAGTTAATTCCAAACAAAAATTTGTACATATACAGTATACATGACCACTGACTGTACTCTGTATACATGACCACTGACTGTACTCTGTATACATGACCACTGACTGTACTCTGTATACATGACCACTGACTGTACTCTGTATACATGACCACTGACTGTACTCTGTATACATGACCACTGACTGTACTCTGTATACATGACCACTGACTGTACTCTGTATACATGACCACTTACTGTACTCTGTATACATGACCACTGACTGTGCAGTACGTACCTGTCGACCATGTAGATTAACTGATGAACCAATGTAGCACTGATCCAGCCTGATAGACTCCTCCTTGGTACGTTTCAGGAATATGCGCTTGTTTTTCACATCAATCTACAATTTTTGCACAAGGCGATAGACAGAAACACACAACAGCAGACAGACAGGCAGAAAGCCAGACAGACAGCCAGACAGACAGAGAGATAGGTAGAAAGACAGGCAGGCAGATAGAGACATAGGCAGAAAAACAGACAGACAGACAGACAGAGATAGGCAGAAAAACAGACAGACAGAGAGATAGGCAGAAAGACAGGCAGGCAGGCAGGCAAAAAGACAGTCAGGCAGGCAGGTAGATAGACAAAGTATGGCTCAAATGCACACACACACACACACACACACACACACACACACACACACCTCAGACCTCAGACCTCAGACATGCCCATCGCGGAAGCGATGATAGCAAACAGCTATGTTAGACATAGCAACTTGCGCTGGGATTACACCATTCAACAGCTTGCAAGGCTGACACACACACACACACACACACACACACACACACACACACACACACACATACCATAATGTATACGCCCGTCGCAAGAGAAGCAAGCAAATCTGCAAATGCACTGGATGTGCACCCACAGATTTTCTCTTATAGCAACGATAGCGAACAAGATCTGAATGAGACAGATCAAGACATGCGCCAGATAACTGTCTAATCCACACAACTGGCGAAGCCATGTGAATCGACCACCAGTGCACACCTGGTCTACACCACACGGAGTACATCGGCATAAAACGGCCAAGACAGTTAGTTGCCTATGCACACCCTACACTTGCTGGGGTAACCATGGTAACCAGTATAGACAGCACGCTGCTTTGATAGAAGCAGACACTATATGCACTGGTTCCTTGAAGTGAAATTGGAGTACAGTCAACTTCGCCAATAACGACTACGGATATAACGACAATTCGCAAATAACGACAGAATTTCCATGCCCAGAGCAAAGTCCCATCCCACTGTAATACATAAAATGAGACTTCGGGTATAACGACACTTCGCGAATAAGGACACCTTTTTGATGCCCCGCCGAGTGTCGTTATAAGCGAAGTTGACTGTACACACAGAGACACACACAAACGCACACAAAGGCAGAAACCAGGATATGATGCGATCCGGAGTTTCATGCTTTGTAGGCAACCGTCTTACAGCAAACCGAATCAAACTAATATTGTCCCGGACGAAAATATAATAATAATGAATGCTGTATATGGGATACATAACACGGGGATGAGAGTGGTGATGGGTATTACTAAGGCTGTGTTCTGTGTGTAAGGGTGGGGGGATGAGAGTGGTGATGGGTATTACTAAGGCTGTGTTCTGTGTGTAAGGGTGGGGGGATGAGAGTGGTGATGGGTATTACTAAGGCTGTGTTCTGTGTGTAAGGGTGGGGGATGAGAGTGGTGATGGGTATTACTAAGGCTGTGTTCTGTGTGTAAGGGTGGGGGGATGAGAGTGGTCATGGGTATTACTAAGGCTGTGTTCTGTGTGTAAGGGTGGGTGGATGAGAGTGGTGATGGGTATTACTAAGGCTTTGTTCTGTGTGTAAGGGTGGGGGGATGAGAGTGGTGATGGGTATTACTAAGGCTGTGTTCTGTGTGTAAGGGTGGGGGGATGAGAGTGGTGATGGGTATTACTAAGGCTGTGTTCTGTGTGTAAGGGTGGGGGGATGAGAGTGGTGATGGGTATTACTAAGGCTGTGTTCTGTGTGTAAGGGTGGGGGGATGAGAGTGATGATGGGTATTACTAAGGCTTTGTTCTGTGTGTAAGGGTGGGGGGATGAGAGTGGTGATGGGTATTACTAAGGCTGTGTTCTGTGTGTAAGGGTGGGGGGATGAGAGTGGTGATGGGTATTACTAAGGCTGTGTTCTGTGTGTAAGGGTGGGGGGATGAGAGTGGTGATGGGTATTACTAAGGCTGTGTTCTGTGTGTAAGGGTGGGGGGGGGGGGATGAGAGTGGTGATGGGTATTACTAAGGCTGTGTTCTGTGTGTGAGGGTGGGGGGATGAGAGTGATGATGGGTATTACCAAGAGTAGATAAACAAGAGTGTGCAACTCCGGATCTCTCCTGCACAATCTGCAGATACCCCCGCCCACGGCGGAATTTTTTGTTGACATCACCTTTTTTCAGAGAAACGCGGACGTTGCCGCAGAGTAGTGTGAGTGCACGTGCTGGGCACCGACCTTGTAGTGTAAAACCCGGCCAAGTGCACGAGGGAAACCTCTCCAAAAGGCTCGCAGCGCGTGCGTCGTCGAAAAGATTACGTCAACAAAAAATTCCGCCGTGGGCATACCCATCCGCGAGTTGCACACTCTTGTTTATCTACTCTTGGTATTACTAAGACTGTGTTCTGTGTGTAAGGGTGGGGGATTTGAGTGGTGATGGGTATTACTAAGGCTGTGTTCTGTGTGTAAGGGTGGGGGGATGAGAGTGGTGATGGGTATTACTAAGGCTGTGTTCTGTGTGTAAGGGTGGGGGGATGAGAGTGGTGATGGGTATTACTAAGGCTGTGTTCTGTGTGTAAGGGTGGGGGGATGAGAGTGGTGATGGCTATGACTAAGGCTGTGTTCTGGGTGTAACGGGCAAAGGACCTGTACGTTACTAGTTATGGTCCATTCTATTACTAGTGGCTCGACACCCAGGTTTTTGTTGTGTGCATGTGTTTGTGTTGATGTGTTTTGTGTGTGTGTGTGTGTGTGTGTGTGTGTGTGTGTGTGTGTGTGTGTGTGTGTGTGTGTGTGTGTGTGTGTGTGTGTGTGCAAGCGCGCGTGGGGCCGTGCTCGGGAGTGTATGTCATGCGCGGGTTGGTGTTAGATCCATGCTCACTTGTATGGATATAGTACATTCTGAGCATGTCTGGGTTCGAGGAAACATGATGCTCTTCAATGGTATGCTCAAGAACATCACCGTGCTATTAAAACATAGGACAAGACAGCATGCATTTGTATAACCAAGAGCCACAGAGTACCGAGGTTGTGTACACTGGGTTGTACCACCAATATTACGACATGGGACAAGACAGCATGCATTTGTATAACCAAGGGTCACAGAGTATCGAGGTTATGTACATGTACACTCGATTGTGCCACCAAGTGAGCAACTCACCATTTCCACGCTGTTATCTTTAGGATAGAAGAGGAAGTTGTAGCGTCGCACTATGCCCGCTAGCGAATCATACCACTCCACGAGGAAAGCGTAGCGTTCACCTTCCATATTACACGGTGAACTGCTGACGACTGGAACAAATCGCCGGCAAGAATGTGCAATGGTCTGGTGTGGAGTGTAACTACTCACGATACACAGTGACACAGCTACGTTCCAAGCTCTGAGTAGCAGATAGTAGGAATTACAGCAGCAGCGCTAGTAGCAGCAGCCGCAGCAGGTGCTGCCTGGTAGATTGGGAAGCAATCACTACCCGGTACCCGTCCTCCAATCTACTCCACACACGTGACCACACCCGAAGACGACCTGCACTAGTACAGACCAGTAGTCAGTAGTCGACTGCAAACTATCCACTCATGGGTTTTCCGTTGCTGGCGTTAGCTTGAAAACTACAACAAACAGGCTCAGCCCAAGGACTGCCACACTCGAACCTGGCCTGAGCGCAAGGATTGCCACACTGGAACCTGGCCTGAGCGCAAGGATTGCCACACTGGAACCTGGCCTGAGCGCAAGGATTGCCACACTGGAACCTGGCCTGAGCGCAAGGATTGCCACAGTCGAACCTGGCCTGAGCGCAAGGATTGCCACACTGGAACCTGGCCTGAGCGATATGAACACCATGTACCACTGAGTGTTCTATAGAAACTCTGAATATTCCCGGAGCAAATGTCTCAATGATTAGGACACCGAGGCAACTAATACTTGTTCTCTTCACCGTCTTTCAAACATTCGATTATGACCATGGCACGGGCATGATTGCTGTAGTTCTGTCACCAAGCAGATTCAAAATGTTTGGCCTCAACGCACCACTCCACGAGTAGACTACATCATACATGACCGCTGGGCGCTGGCTAGTCTAGCCTACTACTAGTAGTACTAGTACTACTAGTACTACTAGTACTGCCTAGTCTACACAGACCACAGTATCAGTGGTATCAGGAGTCTACAGCATCGCGTGCACCCGAGCGCCGAGTTGTACGTTGTATTGGCGCATGGCGATGTGTCTGTCACTAGTGGCACTGTCAAGCGGTCACACCATGCACTCACATCAACTAACGGGTTACGTACTTACTTGATCAGTTGGTCCCCATGGTCACACCGAAACATGCACATGTGTACACTACAAGTCATGCACAAGCGAACACACAACACTAGTACAGTAGTAGTACTACTAGTACTAAGTACTAGTACTAGTAAGTAGTAGTAGTCAACACACAACAAACACACACGTTTCCAATGGTAACTGTTCACAAGCAGCGGTGAGCGATTTCGCTTGTACTACCGCCGGTATACCTGGTATACTGCAGTACTACTACAAGTACAAATGTAATACAATGTAGTAGTAATACTAGTACTACACTAGTCTACACTACATGTATACAGTAGACTCGTACGCCCAAGAACCCAAGAACGTCCAGGCTGGAAATCTAAGAACGCCCCAGCCTGGACTTAGAACGAACTCCAAGATTTTTAAGAACGCGACATTTTCTTGTCCGAGTACACGAAAAACAAGTCCTGTAGTGTGTGTACTGTAGTAGACAAAGAACAGACTGGATGGAACTGGATCCACTGCCCGTCCTCAAGTGCTTTTACCATGTTTACGACCCCTGGCCTGGTCTGCACCAGGGAGTCGTACACCGGGGTAACCCGGGTATATACGGCTCACTGGTCTGCACCGATATTGATTATTGTGCTGCTGCTAGCAATGGTGCGTTCAGTTTCCCGGTTCAGATGCCTGGTCTGATGTCTGGTCCACGCCAGACAGATTTTTCGGCCGCGTGGGAAATCCTCAACGGCTCAAGATCGGGGCGATAATAATTGCCTGCATGCAATACTGTGGACTGTGTTGGAGTGCAAGTTTTCGACAAATCTGGGGCGAGTTTCTTGTACGAATGGTCAGCCAAGTACAAGTATCGACTGGTCGATATTTGGCAGAAAAGTCGGCTAATTTAGTAATTATTTTTAGTGCTTGCACTTGGTTGAGAGGGCCTCCAACCGCTTTTCACCATGACAGACCGTGAACTTGCTGCACTGGGTGGCTAGCCTGTTCACGCCTTTGGCCATGGCTGTAGCTCGTGTTTAGGCCGTGGTCTCACCACTCTTTATTTTGGAGGATGACCCCTGTGACCCCTGTGCCCACTTGGGCCCCGTCGTGGATGGAAGGAGAAGTAGGGATCTGGAAAAGAGCTAGAAAGAGAGAGGAGTAGAGAGAGAGAAGAGCGATTTATCACAGTGGATTGAGAATGGATTCGGAAACGAAGAGCCGCATCGCTATCTGTGTTTTATTATGTACAATGGTGATGATTTAAGGTGGCAGTTCCCCTTTTCCGTATACTACACTCTTTGGACCAGAAGTCATGAACAGCTAGGAATATCCAAACCAAACTTGGCAGTGATGTTGAGGGTGTTCATACCTAGGTTCAGAATCATTTTTCACACATCTCACATATCTTGAAGTGCCGAACTTGCTCTCAGCCAAAATGCGTTCATATCGCACGTACAGGGCAAGGATTGAGCCAAAAAAGAACAGAGGCTAATGGTGCCCAGCAGTGTCAATTTATTTGCTCAGAACTCATGCAGACTAACAGCTCAAGGTGCTAGACTACACTAAACCTTGTAAACGTATGTAGAGTGGAGCATTGTGATTTTCAGTTTTACAGATCAGAAACGCGATGTTTACAGATAATTCAGAGACATGCCAGTTGGAAGAACCTCGCTGGGATATTGACAGTTCTGTTTAGTTTAGCACCTAGCAAATTTCACGTAGATGTGAATAATGCCCAAGATTATGATTCGATGACAAGTAAGCCCTGAGATATGTTGGCTCGAACTTGTCGGAGTCTATGAAAAAGAGGGTCAAATTCATGAAAAAGTACACTCCAGTTTCACCTTTCAAAAGCCACCAGCAGCATATGTTTCTTCTTCCTTGTGCTGTGCCTGATCCAGAAACCCTTTCTTCACTGCTCTGAAATGCTTACTTGCCTTTTGCTCCTCTTCTGACGACTTTCTACGCTTGTGGTACAGCTTTCCTCTTGAAAGACACCTAGATTTCTCTCCAACGACGGACTAACAGTGCATCCCATACGCTGTACTACTTCGGCAAGCTCACTGTGGACTTCATTGAACACGATCACTGCCAGGAACACAGCAGTCTCAACAGTTATGGAGCTACAGAACGATTCCTTTGGACAGAGATGTCAAATAGTGCCATTGAGTGCTTCATTGGCATTCTGTGTGGCACGACGAACACTGCCCTGTAGGAGGGATTTGTCGGCAAGATGGACATATACAGGTTTAATTTCTTCAAAGACTGCAACAGGGATAGTGTTGTTCGACGATGAAGAAACTGCCACAGAAACATTGCCATATCCACACTTCTATTGCTGCCACCTGCACCATGAGTCCTTCCGGGCAGAACTGATTGCATTTCTCGGCATCCTTGGACTGTATGTTGTGGCAAACAGATGCCCAAATAACACGGGCCATCGCTGTGACGAAGCCTGCAATCTTGCAGATAGAATTTCCAAAATAGTTCCGCAGGGAGTCTCCTTCCTTGTGCAGAAAGTACAATAGCGGGTCAACACTTCCACGTCCACAAATTTTTGCGTCTCCCAAGCAATCACAGTCTGCATGCCATATAAGGAGCTGTATCCTCGTCGCATCCATGTTCCGTTGTCACGGCGATTTCGGCTGGCGATTCCTCCCCGGCTGCAACTTGTTGTGTGAACACAACTTCAGCAGCATTTTTCATGCTCAAATTTGCACTAGCTTTAGCAGCTTGGTGAAGATTCTTCACGAGGCGCTGGTAGTTCTTCTTTCAACCGGCGCTGGCAAATCGAGGAATGCACACGATTTCCGGAAATCCTCGTGGCCTCGTTCAAGCAGGCGCATAGCCAGTACGCTCTTTCTATTCAATTCAAAATAACTGGATATCTTTCCCACTGCGGGCGGTGAAGCAACAGCAGTGCAGTAGTTGCATGCAACTTCAATTATGGAGACTAGGCCAGCTCTTACATTTTCTGCAAACTGCTGTTATTGTGGACAATAAACTCTGCACTTAAATTTAATTACTGCAAACTAAAATTCCAGTTGTCAGAATCCAGGACTTCATCACTCTCCTCACTCGAGTCTTCATTGGAGTCACCAGCGCTCTCGGTATCCTCATCTGCAAGTAAGTTCAGATCGCCAGCCAAGGGTTCACAGCTACGAGACGTGTCAGGTACTCCCAATTGCTCAGAGTCACATTCAGTTTGAGCACGAGATGCAGACTCGTTTTCTTTCTCCAGATCTCTGCGCTTGGAGCTCTGGAACTGGTTCCCGTAGAAAACACGCTTCTTGGCTCTGCAGTTAGCGGACTATCTCCTCTTATTGCCAATGACCAAAAGACAACAGCTACAGAGAACAGCGGACACGCCAATTATTTCCAACTTTTTCTGTACACGTGCTTCCTTTGACGCGGATTTGCATTTTTTTGTTCGTGCTGACACCGTGCAGTGCTGACCTGTACTGTGACTGCAGAGCTAGCTGAGTCGGTAGCTACGGGGTAGCTACGGCCACGGGGTACAACTACAGCCAACACGGCACACACACACAAAGAGCTGGCGCTCTTGGCACCCTCCGCGATCCACGCAGTGAACCGGAACGAAGATTGATCGCGCTTGCGAACTGCATTCAAAGTGGAGATCAGCTGATTTTTTTACAAATTCGCAGTGGGAGTTGGTTTGAATTTTTAAAATTTCCCAACCGTCGTGTTGTTTACCGCATAAAAAATTACACTAGCGGAAAGTTCATCACTTCAGGAGGAAAATGAGCCGGATATGGCCTCATTCTGACAACTTTCTTTTTTTGCTCCTTTTTTTGGACCCAAAAGGGGATCTGCCACCTTAAACAATCGACAAGGAGACAATAGTCATAAAATGGCAATAAATTAGATAAATTGTGCACTCATAACAACAGCAAAAAATGAAGAAAGTCAAGTTCCATAACGTTTTCTTGTGACTGTCATCAGTGGAACGCCGTCACATAACAATGTAATAACTAAAACACACACTTATATACACAATCCCCACTTATATACATGTAGCTAATATGGTTTCAGGTAGAAATACAGCAGCCAGCAAGTACAAAAAGCGAAGTTTGCAACTTTGCAAAGAAAACGTTTAATCACTCACACTCTTCAAGTAATACACACGCACCATTACATTCATTCACACAGTATCACATTCATCTGCCACTACCTTTCTCACATACACTATATTCACACATTTGCAAAGGTGCAAACTTCGCTTTTTGTACTTGCTGGCTGCTGTATTTCTACCTGAAACCATATTAGCTACATGTAATTATATAAGTGTGTGTTTTAGTTATTGAAATAATCGACGCGGAGACAACAATTTTATAATAGCTATAAAGAGAACAAATTCTGCTGTCATCGCCACACTACAACAAAGTCATGAAGGTTTACCAAAATCGATTTTCTTGTCACAATCATCAGTGGAAAGCCGTGACTGAAGAATAACCATGCCAAATCAATAATTTATATACATTCAATAATGTGTTACGAGAACAAAACAAAGTGCTAAAAATAGAATGAGGGAAGGTGAGACAATAGAAGTAAAGTGAGAGCTAAGTGCAACAGGGGTGAGGAACTAATTGCAACGCTAGAACTGTGTAGTGAGACAAACAATAATGCTGTGCACCTACGAAAACAATCTTAACGCAACTACATGTTTCTTCTGCTTACAAAGATCAGGCTTATGCAAACGAATACAAACAGCGTCAAGTACTTTCAACTGACTAGCGTACCGTGCACGACAAAGAACAGAAAAACTAAAATCATCATACACCTGCAGACACTTAGGGTGAGACAACAGATAAAGAAAAACGGCAGACTTCTTACGATCACAATCACCATCCGATTCCTCGTCTCCACCAACCGCAACCTCGTCCCCCGTCTCATCTTCCAACTCGTCCTCAGTGTCGTCTTCCGTGTCATTCTCCTCATCACCACCGATCGGTCCCAGGCTCGCTTCACGTTGCTGAACCTCTGTTCGTTCGATTTTGGTAAACCTTCATGGCTTTGTTGTAGTGTGGCGATGACAGCAGAATTTGTTCTCTTTATAGCTATTATAAAGTTTTAGTTATTACATTTTTATGTGACGGCGTTCCACTGATGACAGTCACAAGAAAACGTTATGGAACTTGACTTTCTTCATTTTTGCTGTTATGAGTGCACAATTTATATTTTTTAATGGTGATGATCCGAATAATTTCCCCTGAGAATCACCTCACTTTGCCGATGGTGACAAATACCAGGCTTTGTCGCCGGAGGAAGCGAGACGTTTACGACTTTGTTGATGAAGACGATCTGCTGGCAATCTTGCCCTTGACAATGTTTGGCAGGAGAAAACGGCGTTTTTGGTGCGCCCTTCGCAGTCCCGGTGCCTGGAACGATGACGTTATCCAGCACTGGGCCACCATGGGCACATGTATTGAGTGGGATGTCTCTGACTGGGAGAACGAGCAGTATCGCCCCCGGCACCGGCTTCATTCGCAGCAAACTTTTGCGAAGATCCAGGCTCGTTTGCTCGTATCCTTTTTCATTGTCGTCTGATATCGCGTTTTTGCTTCGTACCGCAGCTCGAGCAATGGCGCTCCATTACCATGCTCCAACTATCCATGGCTGACAACGAAAACCTTTAAAAAAACACTTCACACAACTACAATACAAGAGAAGAAGAAACTACCTGACTACAACAAACGTCAACTCAAGTTCTTCAACTCCTCTTGCACTCTTGCACTTCAGCCAAAATTATTCCGCCACTTTCAGCTTTTCAGCGCTTCCAAAACTTGGCAAAAGGGCTGAAAGTTGAAAGTGGCTGGTGCCCCGATTTTAAGCCGTTTCCGTGGAAACCTCAGCCAAAAAAAGCGCTTTTTTGGCTGAAAGGCTGAATCGGGCTCGGTGTGACCGCGGCCTTATAAGCTATAGCTTAGAGCTCAGCTGTCTCATTTCCGCTGTCTACAACGCGACTTGCATGGCAAAGGCGAAGGGGAGTCGAACCACCGCTGTTGGTGACGGCCTGACGGCAAGGCAGTGATAGTATACTTTGACTTAGTTCAGTGATGGCAAATTCACGTAAAGCCGTGAGATCCGTAGATCCATTATTTCATGTGTAGATCTACACGACTACAGACAGTATTAGTAGTGGGATCTACACGACTCCCTGATCATGACATGAGTGATCTACACAGTCACTACATGTAGAGATCTACAATAACAGGATCACTAAACCATGGTCCATGGAAAACAAAGTCAATATGAATGAGTCATAATTATTTATCTGTCTGTCGTCGGGTATACCGGTAGTACTTCAGCAACCGTGTTGACCAGGCCGGGGAGTCGTAAAATCCCTTTACGATTCCCTGGTGTTGACCTAGATCTACTAGTACTACTACTAGGTGTCGCACTTCACGATCGTCCTTCGTCCATTACTTTGTTTTCGTCTCTTTCAAGTCTTTGTCCCTGGTCGCTTACAATTATTCTATAGTGAGTGGTCGGCGGTACGCGAGTTGCTGGAATGGCCGCTGAGGAGAATGCGGTGTTCACCGCTTTGGGCTTGAACCAGGCTGAAGTGCCCTATCTGGGTACATTGGACGTGAATGAAACAGAGGATGAGTTGGGTCGAGGCTCATTTGCTGTGGTGTACAAGTCCAAATGGTGTGGATTGAAGGTGGCCGCAAAGGCACTTCATTCTATCCTGATTGATCGAAGAAACCAAGGACGCGACGTCGTACTGCATGATTTTGGAGCAGAGATTGCACGCATGGCACGTCTTCGCCACCCACATCTGTGTCCCATTTTCGGCGTGGGCATGGTCGGAACAACTCCAGCCATTGTGGTGGAATTGATGTCCGACACACTGGAAACAATGAGCGTTGGTGCACGCAGACAGGACTTGCTTCAGCTGATGCGCTACATCGAACACACTGCTGCAGGTCTTCGCTACTTGCACTCCATCCCGATGGTGCATCGCGACTTGAAGCCAAGCAATGTCCTCGTTGCCAATAGTGTGGCCAAAATCACGGATTTCGGCGTCTCCAAGCTACTGCCTAGCGTTGCCGATCAGTTCCGTGAAGCCGCTCAGTCCATGACCCGACAGCCTGGTACACCGTTATTCATGCCGCCAGAGGCGTTGCAAGAGACGGAATCTGGCCGAGCAAGGTACGATCTTTCGCTTGACGTCTTTTCGTTCGGAGTGACGGCAATGAGCGTGCTGAGCGGTGTGATGCCCTCCATTGAGCTCATGTTCGCACCAAGATCGCGCCAGGCAGCTGACGGCAGCCACGTCGCTATACCCGAGCTGGAGCGGCGACGCGCGGAGTTTGCTCGCATCCCTGACGGCCACCCGCTGAAGGACCTGCTGAGACGCTGTCTTGCTGACCCACCGGCCCGTCGACCAGATGCAGAGGAGATTCACGAATTCGTCCAGGGTGTTGTTCAGTTCTTGTCCTCATTGCCGCAGGTACGTGTGTGTTGAATTGTTAGAACTACAGTGTAGGTTAAAAGAGGATAAATACGAAATGACGTCAATGTTGTATTGTCGTGGCACTAGTCCCCAAGAATTATTAGAGCTTCATAGCATTCAACTTCCTTTGCCTTGCCACCTGGACCTCGTCATTTTCCTGTGTTGGAACTTCTCGATATCCGAGGGAGGAGGGGGGGGGGGGGGGGGATGGGGTTGTGAGTAAATCTAGAGTTTCCCCCGGTTATCTTGAAGCCTGCAGTCCACGAACGTTGAGACGGCCATGTACATGTACGCACATGTCTTCTGTAAAATTCCCTAGGCGTGCGCTACACACTACGTGTGCGCTGCACTCTACGTGTGCGCTGCAGACTACGCGTGCGCAACACACTACGTGTGCGCTGCTTACTACGCGTGCGCTGCACTCTACGCGTGCGCTGCACTCTACGCGTGCGCTGCACACTACTAGTGCGCTGCACTCTACACATGCCCTGCACTCTGCGTGGAGCTGCACACTACGAGTGCGCTGCACTCCACGCGCGCGCGCGCGCTGCACACTACGAGTGCGCTGCACTCCACGTGTGCGCTGCACTCCACGCGTGCGCTGCACACTACGAGTGCGCTGCACTCTACGCGTGCGCTGCGCACTATGAGTGCGCTGCACTCTACGCGTGCGCTGCACTCTACGCGTGCGCTGCACTCTACGCGCACTCTACGCACTCTACGAGTGTGCTGTACACTGCTAGAGCGCCGCACTCTAAGCGTGCGCTGCACACTACACATGAGCTGCACACTACGTGTGCGCTGCTTACTACGCGTGCGCTGCACTCTACGCGTGCGCTGCACTCTACGCGTGCGCTGCACACTACTAGTGCGCTGCACTCTACACATGCCCTGCACTCTGCGTGGAGCTGCACACTACGAGTGCGCTGCACTCCACGCGCGCGCGCGCGCTGCACACTACGAGTGCGCTGCAGTCCACGCGTGCGCTGCACACTACGAGTGCGCTGCACTCTACGCGTGCGCTGCGCACTATGAGTGCGCTGCACTCTACGCGTGCGCTGCACTCTACGCGTGCGCTGCACTCTACGCGCACTCTACGCACTCTACGAGTGTGCTGTACACTGCTAGAGCGCCGCACTCTAAGCGTGCGCTGCACACTACACATGAGCTGCACACTACGCGTGCGCTGCACACTACGAGTGCGCTGCACTCCATGCGTGCGCTGCACACTACGAGTACTCTGCACTCCACGTGTGCGCTGCACTCCACGCGTGCGCTGCACTCTACGCGTGCACTGCGCACTATGAGTGCGCTGCACTCTATGCGTGCGCTGCACACTACACTGATTAAATTGTGGATGAATGCATGCGGGTATAAAATCATTCTCACAATAGACTTCTTAAAACTCGGATGTTCAGCCAATACAGTCGTATTTAAGCAAAGAGAAATGGGAGGCAGAATTTCCCTTCTTGGAACTCTCCGCATCTGAGCCTTCCAAGTTAGAAGGTTGTTGGTTTGCGCTTGGTAGATGTGTAAAAGCTAAGTGTTAGGTGGTTGAATGTTTCAATGTCCTTGTCAGTGTTGTCCCTTGTTGTCGCACTAAAATGAGTAAATTATCGTGTCCGTTCTCAAAGAGAACTCACGACAGTCGCTAACAAACTGTTAAACACTAGCGGCTGGTCACAAGTTCCCAGTTAACTGTGGTCCACAGTGGGTAGCAGCACGGCTGGAAAACCGCTCCCAGGCACAACAAGGTACCTCTTGTATCTCAACGTTGGTCTTTGACCAAACCACTGCGCCTGCCTGTTGTCGCACTATCAGACTGTATAATGTCTCGTCACCTTGGTGGACTGTTAATCATGACTCGTAGCTTACTGGTCCCTTTGACTCTAGACTTCATTTCAATGAAGTCTAAAAAGAATTTTATGGTTATCAAGCAACAGCATCATAGAAAAAAAGAGTTTTTTCAACTGATAATCCCTCTATTCAGTTGCTATTCACGATCTACGCATGCGCTGCAAATGAAAATTCTTTTATGGTTGATGTAAAGGTTATGACGTTTCGAGACAGTCACCCACCCCCTTGTAAATTATTCTGTTGATGGGTGACTGGCCCGAACATCATATTTTTCACATCTACAATTACATCTGGCTTTGGAAATTTTATTTCCATTGCTATAAGGTTCGGCCTCATTACCTCTGTGCTGAGCTGATGAGCCCGCAAAGGTCGAAACATTCTGTCCGCAGATTGAGTACATCTACAATTAATGAATATCCAATGCAGCAGAGAGAATCATGAATAGCAACTGGATAGTGCGTTGTCAGTTGACAAACCACATCTTCTATCACTCCTTCTATTACCACCATTCAATTACAAGCATACGACGAGTGGATTAAATTAATGAGGGGGGGGGGGGGTGTTCAGGGAGCAGGTGTTAATGCTCAGTGTCGTGTACTGAACTGAACCACCGTCTTTTCTTATGTAGAGTAAGACTGGCTCAGTCGGATCAGTCAACAGGAAATCTAGAGTGTCCCCAATAATAGAGATACCTTAAACAGCGTGGACAGTCCTTTACGGCACACAATAGCCCTTTTGGTATATTCATTGTGACAGCATTATCTCAAGGTGTGCCAGATCCACAGCAGCCATTACATACCACAGTACAGTGTGACATTAAAGCCGAGACCTTTGGTCGGTGGAGCCCCTGGTACCTCACCATCACTGCTGCCCAGTGCAGCCCCTGCTCAGTAGCTGTTTGTTTTGTCCACATAATTATTTATTTTTACGAGCTGGGTTTGTGTATATTAAAATATCAGTTTATATGTAGTATTAACTGTAGTTAGCACGCATGTAACGTTCTCTCAGCGCGTGCCCGCCTGCGTTTACTGCACATAGCACTCCATATTTACCAGTAGCGATGCCGCTACTTCACACTGCATTCCACATCTACCCGTTGCGCTGTCGTTGAGCTGCCCACGCACACCGCTGTGCACGTGACACGGGCACGGTTCGCGCCACGAGGGAATGTGTTCCCCTCTAGCTCTGTCGGCAGCTGAACCTACCAGCGCATCTGACCCCATATGTGCATGCACTCGTGTTCTTTGTTCCTGTTGTTGCTTACCACTCTCACTTGCTGTTTGCTCCAACACTAGCTCTTTGCCAAATTTTCAAAAGTGTCGGTTTCCTGTACCTCCAGCGTTATCCATTCGAGACTATGGCCTCCCCTGCGTTCAGTAAACTCACTGTGCGGGACCTACGCCTCAACCTCGTGGAACGGGGACTTAGTCCCGCCGGCAAGAAAGCGGAGCTGCTTGCCCGGTTGATACAATCCGAAGTCGGACCCCACGCGTCCTCTGTGACTCCCGCCGAGGCTGCCCGACAAACTGTCGAGGACAGGGATACCCGCGAACCTACTATGCCTGTCGCCCCCGTGTCCGAACCTACTATGCCTGTCGCCTCCGTGTCCGAATCTACTATGCCTGTCGCCTCCGTGTCCGTGGCAATCGCGACTGCCCTGAAACCGTTTATGGACCGACTAGACCATTTGGAAGATGCAACACAAACAGCAACCTCAGCCCCAGGTACGTCCACTGTGCATTCGTCTAGTGTTTTCTGCACCATGCTGCGTGACGACGGGCCTGTAAATATTTGGGCAAACGCACCCCAGACCGTAATCGACAAAATCATCACACACCAATTTGTTGATTTACAACAACTGTTGCCCCCGACCGCCACGGACGTGCCAAGCCCCCACGCTCTAGTGTTGGGCGAGGAGACACCCGGAAAATTCATGCTGTCCTCCCAGCCACGCATGTCCCGACGCATTTCGGACATCGAACATTGGCTAGAAGCATGTACGATATTCGCAGCCGTCTATCTGGATGCGCATCCGGGCAGAGCAGTAGAACTGTTCGTATCAGCACCATATTCTGAACTCCAGCAAGAAATTCACGTTTTCCGCAGTTGCGGAGTATGACCGAGCCTTCCGCCATCACGTCCCAGCCGTCACGCCATTGGGACACAACACCACGAATACTGTCCACTACCGTGTTCGATGCCCGTGCCGTGCGGCCCTTTCGGTCCAGCTCCGCGGCAGCCCGCTCGTCCACCGAGCAGTGTCGCCTCTACAACCGGGGCGTGTTTCGCCGAAACCCCTGTCCGTACGTTCATCAATGCAGCACCTGCAACGTCTCCGGACACAGCGTACGAGATTGTCGCACAGGGCAACCGGCCAGCAGGCGTTCCGTTGCACCAACAATCGCCCTGGATGCCTGTTCCCTTCGATCGGTTTGAGTCGGCCCTGGCCAAGCACCCTGACCGCGCATTCGTTTACTCTCTTATGCATGACATGCGTGACGGTGCTGTAATCGGTTACTCCGGTGATCGCTCTCATTTTGTTGCTCCCATTTTAGTCTCTGCATTTAAGAACCCCCAAGCTGTCTCTAATTACCTGTCTAATGAATGCATCGAGGGTCGTATGGCCGGCCCGAAAACCCACTTACCTCACGCAGATCTGCGCTGCTCTGGTGTAGGCGTGGTCCCCAAAAAGTCGGGTAAACTTCGCTTAATTTTGCATTTATCTGCGCCTCAGGGCACTAGCATTAATGACGGTATAAGCCAAGACGAATTTTCGCTGCACTATATGACTGTTGATGATGCGGTTTGGCTGCTGCACCGGCATGGTAAGGGGGCCCTGTTATCCAAAGTCGACCTACGCAATGCATTCCGAGTATGTCCCGTGGCCCCGTCCGACTGGCCCTTGCTGGGCATTCACTGGGACAACGCATTCTACGTTGACAAATTCCTCCCCTTTGGCCTGCGGTCCTCACCATTTCTGTTCAACATGCTCGCCGACGCTCTTTGCTGGGTAGCCACGAATAGATTCAATGTGCATGAACTGCTCCACTACCTCGATGATTTCCTCACAGTTCAACCCCCACAGCCGCCAAACTATGCCCGTCGGCAGTTTCACACGTTACTCGCAGTCATGGAGCACG